CTCACTACCATCCATCCTTCCAATCCTCTACCATATCTACCAATTACTCACTACAAAATGCTACCTTTCCTACATCCTGGAAAACCGCACTAGTTCGCCCAATGAAAAAGACTTCCAACCCATCAACTCTCAATGATTTCCGTCCTATTTCTCTCCTCTCAAATCTTTCTAAACCTTTAGAGCGACTAGTTCAAACACAGGTATCAGATTTTTTAGAACAGAATAACCTCCTAAATCCCAACCTATCCGGTTTCCGGCCTGGCTACTCCACTCAGTCTGCTCTCATCAAAATTTCCCAAGACCTTCATACAGCCATGGACCAGCAGAAACTCACCATCCTTATTCTCCTTGACTTCTCCAAAGCCTTTGACTCAGTAGACCACAAAATTCTCCTAACCAAGCTTAAAAATATTTCCTTCTCAACTAGTACCCTTAATTGGTTCCAATCCTTCCTTTCCGACCGCTCCCAGTATGTTGTAGTCCCCAATAACCCCCCATCAGAACCTTTAACTTTGTCCAGGGGTGTCCCACAAGGCTCCTCTTTATCTCCAACCCTTTTTTCCATCTACATCAAGAGGGAGATCCGATCAGAATGGCTTTCGTCTTATTGGCATTTAGAGTAATCCTATTGTGATTTGTCCAGGCACATATTGCATTTATATCTTCCTGTAATTTTTGGATGGCGCCAGAGGATTCGGTTGGATTGAAGGAGAGGTAAATCTGTACGCCGACGACGTCCAGATTTACCTCTCCTTCAATCCAACCGAATCCTCTGGCGCCATCCAAAAATTACAGGAAGATATAAATGCAATATGTGCCTGGACAAATCACAATAGGATTACTCTAAATGCCAATAAGACGAAAGCCATTCTGATCGGATCTCCCTCACTCCTCAAATCCATACAGATACTCCCCAATCTTTTCCTGAACAACTCACCTATCTCATTCCATACTTCCGTAAAAAACCTTGGTGTTACATTCGATCAAACCCTATCCTGGAAACCACACATCTCCCAAATTTCCCGTCGTACTATCTCTACCCTGAAACAGTTTAACCGTCTCCGCTATCTCCTTCCATATAAATCCCGTCAACTCCTGGTTTCCTGCCTTGTGTTCCCCCACTTCGACTATGGCTGTCTGGTGTACGGTGGACACTCGGGAGAATTCGAGGCCAAAGTTAAACGCCTAATGAACTGTGCAATACGTTTTGTTTTCGGAATCTCAAGATATACGCATATAACCCAGTATTACACCAAGTTGAAGTGGCTCTATCCATCCAACCGCCGTTTGTACTTCCTTGCCACTTTTCTATACCAAGTCATCAGAACTCAGCGGCCTTCCTATATTTTTCACAACCTACAATTCAAATATTCCATTCAATCCCGTCTCACTAGATCTCATACCTCCGACCTCTATCCACCTCCCCACCGAACTGCAGCGTTTGACAACTCCTTTATAATTCAAGCCGTCTCCTTCTGGAATACCATCCCTCCTAATATCCGACATGTACAAACAGTTTCCTCATTTAAATCTCTCCTTTTTAACCACCTACTCCTTTCCCAACCTGATTGATCAGGAAATGTAGATAAGAGAACTTTTAAAGTTCCCCCAGAATTGATTTTCTTTACTTATGCTATTTTATTTTATTATGTGGTTTGTATTATACATATCAGAATGTTTTTAGTGTGATAGTTATATTTTTTGTTTTATTATTTTTTCAAAATCTTAATCTTAATAATAAATGTAAATAATTAATTTTATGTATGGCCACACAGGCATTTATTCTGTATCTGTAATTTGTCCTAAAGGGACAACAGTCCCAGGATAATAAAAAAAATATTTTCATTTCATTTCATTTCATGTTTATTTTATTTTGTTCTCATTTCATTTAAATAATGTTTTTTTTTTTCTTTTCAAAATGGTGTTATTTTTACTTGTTTTAATTTAATTTTACTGAAGATACTATATATTCTTTAACATTGACTAATGTAATTTTTGGCCAGATGTAGTTTTTATTTTTTGTTCATATCTGTTATTAATAAGGGACCTTGTCCCAGAATAAAGTTTTCTGATTGAATTGTAAGGTGGAATTGGAATAAGAGGTTTTTAAATATGGATAAGGATGGTGCATGGCAGATTTTAAGTGGGATGGAATTCCAAAAGGTGGTGAAGCGGACAATAAAGAAGTGTTGAAATGAGGCCGATTTGTGGAAAGGGGTATAAAGGTCAGAAGGACGAGATCTTGTGGAGAGGGAGTGGACAGATGACTTGAATTGAAGGAGATTGAATGCGTAGGACGGACGATGATTATAGATTATTTGGTAAAGGAATGTACCTAGGAAATACTGTCTTCTGAAGGAGGGAAAGAGCCACCCTAACTCGGCGTAGTAGTGGGAAACATGAGAACGTTCAGGGTTCCATTGACAAATCATACTAAGCCATTCATGATTCTTTTCACTCTGTCTCCAAGTTCCGATGAGAGGCCACCGTACACTACGCAGCCGTAGTCAATGAGGGGGAAGATGAGGGCGGATACTAGGAGTCTACTTGTGGACATGGGTAGGAGATGGTGGAAGTGATGGGAGAGTTTCAGGATGGAAATTGAACGTCGGGAAATGTAGGAAAAATGGTGATTCCAGGAGAGGGTTTGATCTATGAAAACACTCAAGTTTTAACTGAAGAGTTGAAGGTGATGGATTGGTAATTTAGGTACAGGAGAGAAATATTGGTATTGGATCTGAGAAGGGGTTTGGAACCAATGACAATGGCTTGGGTTTTAGCAGCGTTTAATCATAATCCATTTTCACTTGCCCAGGCACAAATCCGATTAAGGTCTTCTTGTATTTTGGCAAACGCATCATGCCACTCAGAGGGAGCGAAGGAGAGGTAAATTGGGGAATTATCGGCGTAAAGGTGTTGGGAACAGTGAAGGATTGATTTATGAAGGTCATTAATATATGAACTAAAAAGGAGAGGAGATATGCTAGAGCCCTGTGCCACTCCTGAGAACAGAGTTAGATAGGATGATAAATGTTGGTTGGGAATAGAGACTGCTTGAGTACGTTGAGAGAGGAATGATTGAAACCAAAGGATAGAGCTGTTGGAAAAGGATAACGATTTCAATTTGGAGAAAAGGATGGAATGGTTAATGGTATCAAAGGCTTTGGAAAAGTCTAGGAGTACAAGGACAGTTAGTTTTTTGTCATCTATGGCGACTGAACATCACTAATGATTTTGATTAGGGCGGATTGTGTGGAGTAACCTAGTCGAAAACCAGACTGGTAAGGATCAAGTTGGTTGGACTGTTCTAGGAAGTTGGAAACTTGGGATTGGACTATTCGTTCTAGAGGTTTTGCAAGGTTAGAAAGGATTGAGATTGGACGGTAATCTTCAGAGGAAGAAGGGTTAGGATTTTTAAGTAAAGGACGGACAATGGCTTTATTCCATAAGGAAGGAAATATTGAGTTCTGAAGGGAGAAATTTTAGATGAAAAGGAGAACGGGAAGGATTTCAGGTAGGCACAATTTAATTAATTTGACAGGAATACCACCTGGATTAATAGAATTGGAATGAGATTTCATCACGACGGATATGATTAGGAGAAACATCTGAAAAATAAAAGTTGTCGTCGTTAAATGATATTCCCGGAGTAAAGAAGGAAGAGGTTGATGGAGGAATGGAAGAGGAAGTTGATATAAAATATGAATTTAAATCATCAGGTTTGACTGGAAAGACTGCTGAGGAAGGTGATCTGGAAGATTCACAGAGGGAGAGTTTACGAAGGAGTAGCTATTTGGTTTCGGAATCAGGAGCTGATGAAAGGGCTTCATGGAAATAGGTGGATTTGGCTCGTCGGATTTTGGTTTGTGTCAGGTTACGGAGCACCCTAAACGCTTGGTAGTCATCAGCAAGCCTAGTACATCTAAAGCGTCAGCGGGCAGCATCACATCTCATCTGAAGATCTTTAATTTGCTGACACATCCAGGGAGCCGGGGGGCGACGAAAGGTCGAGGTTTTAATGGGAGCATGGGCATCAAGGATATTAAGGAAGTTGGAAGTAAAAATGTCTACCATAGAGTCAATACAGGAAAAGAAATATATTCCATTCCAATCAAGCGTTTCCAGGTAGGGTAAGATTTTTTCACGAGTGAGGTCTTCAATATTACAGAAAGTTATGGTTCTAGGTAGGATCGGAGGAGTATGGATATTATATGAAATTTGGATTAGGTCATGAGAGAATAAAAAGGAGACCGGTACTTGTGAGGAGGAAAGGAGGTTCTGAGAGGAGTCGATAATGTAATGGTCCAACCAAGTATCGGACCTTAGGATGTGATGAGTGGAAGAAAAAGAAACAATGAAGAGATGAAGGGAGAAAAAAAAGTTTTCGAGGTATGATTTATCGGAAAGGAAATTAGTGTTTAGGTCGCCGGAAATGATTATTTTGGTATAAAGAGGAACAAAGTTAAAGAGGGATGATTCAAATGACGGATCAAAGGGAACAAGAAGAGGTCTATATACTACGACATAAAGGATAGGAGATATATCAAAGGAAATTTCAACAATCAGAAACTCTACATGTGGGTGATCGGATGGAGGAGAGCATTCGGGTCTTCAGACATTCATGAACAAACAAAGCTACACCTCCATCAGTCTGGCTCGTATGGTCGTGGCGGATTAGTGTGTAGTTAGGAAGGGAAACAGATGTGGAAGGGATGTAAAGCTTAAGCCAGGTTTCGGAAATTGCAATGATCTGGTAGAAATTGTGGGTAAAGTATTCTAGGAATTTATCGAAATGGGCTGGGAGGGATTGGAAGTTGACGTGACAGATATATATGTATATATATATACATGTATACATGTACATATAGATATCTATAAAGCAAACTGGTTGGCCTTGGTCTTCTGATGGTAACACCCAAGGGTTGACTATGTGTATACACACACATTCATATGCATATAATAAAATTAATACAATAAAATAGCTGTATGAATTTATTTACCTGGGAAAAACTATGGTCTTCAAAAAAATCATATTCCTTGTTCGATTCTTCCAAATGATTATCATTGTCGATATCGTAGTCTATAAACAACTGAAAATCAAAGGGAATTTAAACATGGATTGGTACTATCATCTAATAATGATATATTAGATAATTAATTGAAAAAAATATAAATAATATTAATAAATAATAGAAATTATCACTTAGTATATTGAAAAAAAAAAATAGTTGCTTGAATGTTATTAAGGTAATTAATAACCCGTATTAAGTGTAAGTAATTATAATAATAATATAAATAACTTAAACAAAGGCTTAATGGAATTATCGTTAAATGACAGATAAAAGCACCAAATTTGGAGTGAAGTTACTTTAGGGTATACGAATAAATGTTAGCATAAGAGCCCCTTAAAATTCCTAAAAATTTTCATGTATAGAACTAAAATGGCCATCAAAATGACAAATTGTCACTTTTAATAACACTATTTTTTACTTTTTACTATATATATATATATATATTTATATATATATTTATTCTATATTTCATGTATAGAACTAAAATGGCCATCAAGTTTATATGTAATATATATATATATATATATATATATATATATATATATATATATATATATATATAACATATTTCTCCAAGATAAGTCTGGAAATGAAGTTAGAATGAATGAAAATTTTATTTGCGAATGACTCGGTAATTATAATTAAAACTATAACAGAGGGTCCATCGCTTCACTTCCAAAAAATTTCTGTACATTTCCTGGTTTTTCAGATTTTTCAAATAAATTGATCTATTTTTCCTAAAAAATATTAATAAACACTGTTATGTATAACAAATTAAAAGATTGAGTACAGCTGCATATGGTGTAATGTAGACTCTTATTACAACCTATAATGGTTAAAATGATTTACTATTTTTAGTACATTCTCAGCAATAGATGGTTAAACTACATTCACTCACTTTTACTGTTTCAAAATCCCTTTTCAGTTCTATTAGACTCTTGCACTTTATCAAAGGTAGTAGAACATAATTATGGGAATTTTCTAAATGTCTTAATATATATATATATATATATATATATATATATATATTTTTTTTTTTTTTTGTGCGTAGAGCACTACAACCAAACCATGGATCTATTGCAAACCATGTTCTAATCCGTTTATGCTAAAACATTAATTTGTTCGCTTTCATGTATTTCAATAGGCTTATAGGGTTGATATACCCATAGCTTCTGGGGTCATCTACTCTGTCCTCCCCAAACAGCTTAAGTTTAAGCCTAGCAAACCTACCACACTGACAAAAAATGTGAAAGACTGTTTCGTTCTCCTCATGAGGATCTACATAGTGGATATCTAGTCAATCGGAGATTAAACATATGATAGTTTACCCTAGTGTCCAGTGTAGATCGATGTAAGTTTTTTAAGTGCTGCTCTATCCAAATTTTGTTTGCCTTTTTAATGGGTTTTGTGGCTTTGCGTACTCTAAATCCCCACCAAATTAATTTATTGAGGTAAAGATTTGAAAATTGAGTTGGTGTGAGAAACGTTCCATCTAAGCTTTCAACTTTTTCTTTGACATTTCAATAAATTAAATTTGGAAGAAATAATAACATGAGAAAGAAATTCAGCAGCTCAAATGATTTAAAAATTCTATTTAAATCCTCAGGTTAGTATTAATGCACCATATATTTTCAAAACAAAAATAAGGGAAAATGCGACGTGAATGATAGTGCTCTTTTGCGCACTTTTATTTATTTTTAAAATGTTTTAACAAGTTAAAATGTTTTAACAAGTTAAAATGTTTTAACAAGTTAAAATGTTTTAACAAGTTAAAATGTTTTAACAAGTTAAAATGTTTTAACAACTTAAAATGTTTTAACGGTTTGTTCAAGTGGTTGAATTTTAAGAATAAGAATAATTCAAATTTCTTCCTCACTACTGAAGGTAGAGAAGCTTTGCATTCATGACAGAAGTTAAAATAATGTTATGTGCTCAGAATCGTAAATTTCTACTCGCATATTAGGCTATATACATCAAAGAACAAATTTGTTTCTATGTCTGTCTTTAATCAAATCCATATGATGGGCATATCACTTACAACCGTTTTTTACGAAAGACTATGCAGGTTAGTGTCTAGATGGTTCCATATAAATGCATCAAATTAGCCATCAAATTTTACCACGCACTTTTTTCAACATCTTTTTAGACATAACTAATAAAAAAAAAAAAAGACCGTTATTCAACCAAATATTTGTATTATTATTTCTTTGATATAAAATACAATTAATACTCAAAGCATAGTTCATGTTTATTTACCGTCATTAGCCATCTGCTAGCCAATTGCTCGATCCCACATTGACAACATTCTTTGGGAAGGCTGTCACAACTCTTGGACCACAATTTCAACTTCCGTAAAATTATCAAATTTTTTCCCTTGAAGAAAATGGGATATGAATCTAAATAAGTAGTAATCTGATGGTGCTAGGTCTGGACTATATAGTGGATGAGGCAGGAGTCTCATATCAGAAGGGTTTTTCAATAAATTTTTACAAATTTCTTACCTCTCAGCTGATTGCTAAGGAGTAAGTTCGTGAAGGACCAGTCTACTGCTCTTTTTCACCTTCTCCATGGTGAGTAGATGGTGACACAGAATTTTTCAGCACAACACACTCCCTGGCATGTTCGTGAGTACTCATGGACAGATTTGACTCAACAGCTTCCTGCAGAACCTCATCAATATCCATTAATGGTCGCCCGGAGCCCTTCTTCCTTTCCAATGTTGTATCTCCACTGCTAAATTTTTCAAACCAACACCGCGCAGTTCTCTGGTCAAGAACACCTTTACCTTCATATTTAATAATTTCAGGAGTTGCTTCAGCAGCTGTGAAATTTTTTTCCTTAAAATTACTAAAACTTCGTAGGACACTGTCATGTTTCTTCTTCGGAACAAATAACTGAACTGAGGCTTTTTTGAAGAAGTCGAATGGGATTAAACAAGTTTAGAGAATGCCGAGAAGGGATTATTAAGTATTAAATATGATTCAAATATTTACAGTCCTTTGAAATCTAGAATTTGATAAAACTCATTTTTTTTATACACCCTATTATATTTCAGAAATGGCCCTTTCAATTTGGCTCAAAGTTAAAAGAAAGTTGGGTGTTCGTGAAAAAATGATACTATAACAATCTTATTGAAATCTATCCATTACTTCCTCATAAATAAGCACAAACATATTTTTCTTGAAACGCTTCAAGAACCTTATGTTCAATTTGGCCCAAATTTGGAGGGAAGTTAAGGATTCTTTTTTTTATTCTTTATTTCCAGAAGGAATTAGTGAGTCATACATGGGTTTATTAGGTAATTTATTAACAGTTGATAAAGCGAGGGTATAGTCTCACACACAAAAACCCTAAGGTTACAGAATGTCCAGTGGCAGCCTTAGGGTGGGGATTCAAAGCGATTACCAAATATACAGCTGCCACGTCTGTTTGTAATGACATGATGTACCAAACTGAAGTTGTCTGAATGGAATCGCTTTAGTCGCATGCTACACAAGTGTACGACAAAACGCATGCAATGCGATGTGGAGCAACAATAATTGAATTTTGTGTTACATAGTCGGACAGCTACAATAGGCAACACTAGGAAATAAGTATCAAGCTACATGTCGTTTAGTGTTGCCTCAGTGGAATTTAGCCTTTATATATACAATACTATATTTTGAGTGGAAAGCGAGATTTGGTGCAACGAATAATAGAATATATTAGTTCTACAATAATCATTGCGAACCTGATGGCATTCATGAACTGTGAATGACAAGGATCAAATAAAGGACATCGATACATTTAATATTCTATTTAATAATTAACACATTTATGAATGAAATAAAAAATAAAATTTAAATTTATATTATCTATCAGTATAAAATAATGTTTAATGTACTGCTAATTAAGAATGTCTTTACGGTAGCTGCAAACTTATACTGCTACCATTAATTTAAGATGGTCTTCATCCGGTCTATGCTTTTTTAATCACTGCATACCAGTTGCCACTGTCGAGGTTATAGTACACAAAGGATATGTGCAATTTAACATAAGGCCTGCGATGTAAGAGGTCAAGGTTGGTAACAACAACCGGAAGGATCAAACTTCGGACTTATGGGGGGATGAAATACTAACAGAGGGATCAATCTCCTGACTTAGTACATAGGAAAACAAGCAGATGGATCAGCGTCCAAACTTGAGCGAAATAAGAGAAAAGGAAAAAGGTTAATGGATATTGTGAAATAAGAACAGATTAAGGTGAACCAAAAGCGTATAGGAGACATATACTAATCATCTGCATGGTGATCTACATCTGCATGGTGTAAATCTGAGGACCTGACAATTTGAGGTTTGCCTGCGGTATTTATTCCCCCAAGACTAAACCGACTATCAAGAGCTGTTACAATAACAGTATTTTTAAGCTCTGATCAGTATATGTTATCGCCACATTAACTTAATGAAGTTTATTATTAATAAATAAGAAGTATTTACAATGTGTATACATATTCCAATTTACAATTTGAGCATTTTATCATATAACAATAAGAAATAAAAATACAATTGTTAGTATGTTGTACGGGGAGCTTGTATGATGCTGCTTGGTAGCAGGTAGGCGAACTAGTTGTTCCCTGTAGCAAGAGGAATCAGTTGCCGCTACACCACTAATAGCCTTGGAGCCAGGACCCAAAAATCTAAATCATAACAGGCGAAGGTTTGATTGTAAATTACAAAAGGGTATGTTATTCTGGATAAAAAGAACTTTATCTGCCGTTTCATCCATCAGAGCCGCTGCTTTAAAAAATGGCAGCTGATTTAAAGAATATTAGGCCCGTCATTTGAGGATCGAAACGGAAAATCTATTGCGAAAAATTTGAAAAAAGTTTTAATTTTTTAACTTGGGTTTAGATGTAAAAAACAAAATTGGTAATGTGAGCTACCAAGGGAAAACTTTTACAGCCAAAAAAGTCAACCAACGCTGATTTTTACCAAAGTTGTCAAAAACTGAGACAAATTACTATGAATGGCCCTGCAACTTGGAAATGAGTTCCTTAAGAGGAAAAACCCATAGATTCAAATTTGTAGAGCATGACATTCTGTGTCCAGTGAGTACCAACTAATTTAATGTAGGTCACTTACTCCGGTAAGCTCCCAATGGTTGGAAATTGGTAATGAAGGTAAACGTTATTTTCAATATTTCAACAGTATGGGTGTCTATTCTACTGAGTTATTTTTGTTTAGAGTATGTTACATGCAGCATAAGCTTCTTTTCCACCTCTCAGCAGCGAAGAATTTTGATAAACGATGTGTTGAAAGATGCTGAATTTCATAAAGGAATAACGAATCCGGAATCGAGATATATAATTCACCTACAATAAAAATCTCAGAACTCAGTGGACGCAAAATTTGATGCTCTTCAACTTTGATTCTTTGTGTGTTTTCTCTTAGGGAACCCATTTTCAAATTACAGGGCCATTTGTCTAAGTTTTTGACAAATTTGGTAAAAATCAGCGTTGGTTGACTGTGGTTTTATACCTTACCATGTAATCAAGTTAAAAAGTTTATGCACTCGTTCGACGCACAATTTAACGTTCTTTAATTTATGGAGGAGTACATTTTTCGTTTTGATACATTGTTTAGGAGTTGTAGGTGAAAAAACAAAAAAATCTGACTTTTTTTTGGCTGTAAAGTTTTCTCTTGGTAGCCCACATTAGAAATTTTCTTTTTAAACATGTCTAAACCCATATATACAAGCTAAAAAAATAAAAACTTTTCTCACATTTTTCAAAATGGATTTCCTGTTTCGATACTCAAATTACTGGCCTAGTTTTCTTTAAATCAGTCACCATTTTTGAAAGCAACGGCTCTGGAATGGCACACAAGGTTCTCTTTACTCAGAATAACATATCCTTTCATAATTTACAATCAAACCTGCGATGAAGGCGATTTTCGGGCCTTGGCTCCAGAGCTATAAAGCTTTCCGATACCGACAGACAATGGTGCATCCTGGATTTTGGATTTTTGTGCCATACATGAGAATTTTCAAAAATTTCAGAGGGATCCTAGGCAGAGATGGGCAAATTCTACTCTGAGTATCGAGTACCAAATAAAAAAATACTGAAATTGAATCACCATTGGGAATTCAATCACTACTTCAGTCAATCATTTGACATCAACTGAAGTAGTAATTAAATTCTTTGGTACTAAAAAAAAAGTCAGTATTTGAGTAAAATACTTGGTAGTCAGCAGAGATGGGCAAATGCTACTCTGAGTACCGAGTACCAAGTATTTTACTCAAATCGATTCACTATTGATAATTCAATAACTACTTATGGTAATCGTTTGACATCAACTACAGTAGTAATTAAATTCTTTGATATTCTAAAAAGGTCAGTATTTGAGTAAAATACTTAATACTCAGTACTCACAGTAGCATTAGCCCATCTCTCCTCCTAGGCTAACATTAATTAGTGTACCTTAGGGTGCATTCATACCAAATATGGTGTTTTTATCCACAATTTAACAGTAACCCTCAAATTTAGCCCTAAGCCACTTCGCTACAATGAACTCCAGCCACTACTTTATAGGTCAAGATTTGGTTAGTTTAAACATGAAGCAATTAGATCCAATGAACCAGTTGGCATTTAGGTGTGTACACACTAAGCTAATCTCAGGTAATGAACATCCAACTGCTTATTCAGTAAATTTTAATCATAGTCTGTTTATTGCCCTTGATAGAGTTTTGGTCTTCTGGCAGTGATATTAGAAAACCAGAGAGCTCCTTGTTTTTTTCCTGCAGCAAAATGCACCTCAGCCAAGAATGCCTAAGCAGCTCCTTGTTACTACCAAACTAATAACCACCCCATTTCAACTACAGTTGCTTGCAGTACAGATGGCGATCTGCTGAAGAGAATTTTGAATTCTATCATAAGATTTATATTTATGGTTCCCAGACACTATCATGTTTCTTGTAGGTACACCAAGTTTAAGTTGCTTATCCTACTTTCCAACAGCAATTCTTCCTTGTTGTTTTTCTTTTCCAAGTCCTTTGAACAAAAAAAAACTCCTTAAACCCTACAACTCCTTATCTATTCTCCCTCCTTTATTTACTCTAAATACTAGATATCAACCTACTGATCTATACATCCCCTCCCAAAAAAAAGACAACACTTCAGTAAATCTTTTATAAATTGTACAACCGCCTTTTGAAAGAAATGAGAGATATTTAGAAAAAATACACTATTGACTTAGATCTTTAATAATTAGAACTTTTTCTTGTAAGGAAAAGCTCATTTTATAGCTTTAAAGGGAATACATAACAATTAACAATTTTGGGTTTACTTGTAATTATGATGTAAAATTAATCATAAAATAAAATAAAAAAAGATATACAAAGCACTAGAAATAAGAAATAAAATAAGAAACTTTTTTTTTTATTTTTTATGAACATACAAATTACTTTGAATGAAGTATGTAGTAAGTACAGGATAGTTCCCCTTATGAGGTTGCTAAATGATGGTTAGGTAGTTTAAACACTATAAAGTTCATCCTGAAATCAATGGGGGAAACAAAAAAAAATTTAATGGTCTTTTTAATAAATCATTATTTGTTTGATAAAGATTTCATACTTATGGAATGGAATTATGTAGTATTTTGATAAATTTTATAAAAAAAATAATGGACATCCACCAATCAAAGAAAGTTTTAAGACTTAAAAGTAATGTGCATCTAAATTAACAATTATTTATTAATATAAAAATGCAATAAACTAAGTAAGAATCTTAAACTTTCTTCTGAAGGTGTGATTTCTGAAAATAGATAAATGAGTTGAAGAATAATTTAAACTGTTGGCTTCAAAAATGAAGCTTTGAAAATAAGAGAAAACAGGATATTAGTGATATTTTCAGTGACCTAAACTGAGAAAAATGAAATATATTTATTAAAGTGTGTAATGTTTGCACAGCTCTTGTAATGCTAGGGAGCACACGGTTTGGAGCAATTAAAAACTCTTCTCTGATCCAGATATTAATATATATATATATATATATATATATACATAAAAATATCCTAAAATTTATATAAAGTAATACATTAGTTCACCTTTGTTCCATGGGCTTGCATAGCATGTACTGAAGCAGCATGAAGTTTTTCCTTATACAGTTGAGCTGCACGGGAATTATATTTCTGCTGAGCATCTTTGGTATGACAATTGTGTTGTTGGAAAAATGATTCCTAAAATGAAAGGAAAAAGTGAATATCAAAAATAAAACCAGGTTAATAAATATAGTTCATAAACTTCATTCAATTTCTATAGAAATTAGAACTATAGAAAAACTTTGAGTCAATTTATTTAATGAAACAAAAAAATTAAGGCAATTACCTAACTACCCAAAAGCTACTAGACTGTATTCAAAAGTGGATGAAAACTACCTGACTGTGTTCAAACGTGAACGGAATGACCAATACCCAAACCTGCATTGTTAGAAAATGGCTCCTAATTTTAGGAAACAATTTTTTTTCCTTTATTTTATACAGAATCTTTTCGTTAAGTTAGTAGTACTTGCCACATAAAATAGAATAGAATATAAAAATCAACTTTATTCTGGGGCTATATCCCTTAAGAATAACAATAGAAAAAAAATTACGATCAATAATGGCTATAAGACCGAGTACATAAGTAAATACCTAAACATATACTTAGTTTTTTATGTACCTAGATAGTCCATTGGCTACCATGCAATTCTTTTATAGTGAAGGTTTCCAGTTCATGTACATAGTTTAAAAAAAAAACAGAAGCCAGAAAAGGCAAAACAAAATATTCGCTTCTTAAATAGAATGATACAGAAAGGATAATTAAATAATTCATATAAGCAAACATTCTTAACTAACAAATAAAAATAAATAAATTGCAACTTCCGTTATTTAAAAGATGTATAACTTACAATTCTAGTCATATATAAATAACAGACAAGTTATCAAAATGTTTATCATTTGTTAGAGTAAATATCAATATCTTGTTTTTAAAGAAATCTCCAGTTAACACAAATCTTAAACAATTTTAAGCAATGACAGAGTGTAATTTTCAGCTAACACGAACCTATTTTAGGTACAAATATTCAGTAAATAATTCTTGGTAACTCGTCACATGACTCCTACTTTTTTTTTTATTCGATTTCAACTGCACTCTTTAAATAAAACATATGTTTCTCTTGGAACACAAAAAGTGCTATTAAATTTTACTGAAAATTTGTAATAAGTGGAGTTTCAGGTTTAAATGTGGTATTATCGAGGGTTTCAGATTTAAGTAAGGTTAAAAAAAAACTTACCCATAGATTTATTGGTTAATAAATCTAATAAGAAGTGTTTGAAAAAATGTATATAGGCATTATTTCAAAAACAAAAATTTTAATATCCTAAAATCAACCATCATCAATCACAAGAATTCACCATGAATTCAAAAACAGGAAGAGGATAGACCCCCCCTATTGCCTCTCTGTGTCTTTTGGATTATCAAAGCACCTTTACAAAGCATGTGATAAGGTTGTTAAGTAGTTTAAACAAATAGAATATCTCGACGTAGAAAGGCATATACACCAAAACGAAGAAATCATGATTTTTTGTGAAAAATATTAATAAGCAATAATTCTTTTAACTTATATTAAGTTAATATAAAATTTTCAAGAATTTCAGTAATGATATTTTTATTGGGTTAGCTGGACCCAAACATGTGGGTCGAAATGTCAGCTAACCCATTAAAAATATCTCAACTGAAATTCCTGACAACTTAGTTTCATACTTATAATTGACCAGTTGACTACATATCCATCTTTAATATAAAACTGATTTTTAAATTTATGGATTTTTTTTTCTTCTTCAAACCTATCATGATAAGAAGAACTATTGTTTATAAACCCTTTAAACTGAAATCTCAATTTATTTATTTTGGCGCTTATGCCTTTCTGTAATGAATAGGTATAGAGAAATAGGATCAAAATAGATATAGAAGAACTTAAACTGCGGAATTATGTTTATTCGTTTTCAAACAAATTCCTTTTTATAAAAAAATACATATATGATGTCCTTCTTATCCTCGACCCAGATAAAATTCCTAATATCCTTTTGGCCTTTAACTCCTACCACCCATGCCTTCGTTTTACAGTTGAATATAAAAATAACAATTCCCTGCCCTTCCTAGATCTCCTCATCAAAAGAAGCCACAACAATATTTTATCCACAGATTGGTACACAAAACCGACATACTCTGGCAGACAACTTAACTATTATTCCCAACAACCCAATCACCAAAAATCAACGTAGCTAACAATCTTATATACCAATGTTTGTCCCTGTTCGATTCTTCCCTACATGAAACAAACACAAGACACATCAAAAGATACTAATAATTTCCCCTCCTGCACCATAAAAAAACTTTTCCTCATCCTCCACCCCCTTCCGAGTTCTCAAAATCCACTCTTAATCCCATTATATAGATCTCTACCTTATAGCCCTTTGCTAGCTGACAAATTAAACAGTCTTTATGTTCCTCCATTCATAACCTACGAGTGGCTTTGAAAAACCACAACAGATTATCCAACTTCTACACCCATCCCTCTCTAATACAAATCGAATATCATTTACTGCATTCCCTGTTCCACCCCAATTGTAACCCCTCTTATATTGAAGAAATCAAAAATCTTCTTAATGACCACATCAACTAATATAAATATTCTATTTTATACAAAAACCATATTGCCTCCAAACTTTCCAAATATGCCCTATCCTCTGATCACACATTCACTGTGACAATACATCCATACTTGCCACAGTCCCCAATCATGAAAAAAGAATTATCACAAAGATCGTTTTCATTCAATTGGAAAACCAAGCAGTAAAACTAAAAATTGACAAATAAAACTTGTCCCTAGTCTATTTTCAAATCCTTAACCTATTAAAACAACAATAATTTATTAATGCTTCTTCATATTTCCTTCCTCGTTCTTTAAAAAAAAATTATATATGTGTACATATACATAGACAACTCCTTTAACTCATTTAATACACCAAACAAATGCGGCCTCTTTCACCCATTTCAAATTCCCTACACCATAATCCACATTTACAAGTAGTACATGTCAAATATCCACCTTCTTTTGTGTATTTAATGCTTTAACCAATGCCTAGAACAATGCATGCAACTACCACTGTAATAATTTAAAGTATAATGACCTTTTCTTATCTCACTCACTTGCACTTTTCCGACAACAGACCAGCAATTCCTTCTTTAAACCACTTGGTCCCTTTTTACCTGTCTGTTTTTATACCCATACTTATACCTTACCGACATCAGACACCAAACGCCATAATACTTGCTGCAGTGCCAGACTGAATGTTATGTTTGACTTTTATTATTATTTTTATTCTTAATACACCTACTATCTATTACCCTTAATATACTCTAGATATCCTAATAATCCATTACCACTTTCAAATTGAACTGAATGTTAATGATCAATTACATTTACTGGAACATTCTACATTATCATAACTTTTTCTTTTTTTACATTCTAATCTTACAAGCTAATAAACTCAGTTTGTTATTTTTCATAAGATTAATGAATACAGTGTCTAATCAATTAAATATAGAAATAGATTGTAATTCAAACCATACTGTAATTGTACCATATCACTTATGATATCTCGACATTTCCGCAACTACTTTCTCTAATAAGCTGTACTATTTCAATATCAACAAATATTTTACTTATCATATATTGCACCCTGTAACAATTAACATGTATTGTTTGTATCTTTTTTGCCCTACAGAAGACCTACAACCTAAGTCAAAATGTTGGACAATGCAATAAAAATACTGTTATATAAAATAGTATTTTTATATATTGAACGCACCCCTGACTAACTTCTTCTGAAATCAAGGTAAAATTTATATTATAAGTATATTTATTAATATTTTACACTGTATAATTAATATATTATTATAACTAATAAATATAATCATATAAGTTACGACACATATATCTTTATATATGAACAAGAATGACATTACTTAGTTACTTTCAGTATTATATCTAGAGTGTACTCTAGCTGATCTTGAAACCAGCTGCCATCAAGGCATAGCAATACAATACGTAAAATAACAATTTACGCTTTAACTCTGATATACATACAATAGATATTGTGTCAGTATGGTTGGCTAAGACTGATTCTGCACAATCTTTTATACACTGGGATTAAAGTTTCTTTCATTCACTTACTTCAGAATAGAATAGAATAGAAAATTAAACTTTATTCTGGGACTAAGTCCCTTTAGAATAACAATGATGAGTTAATACAAAGTAAAGTACAAATCTGGCCAAAAACTAACTTATAAAATTTTTAATATTATATACATTATTTAAAAAGTATGTAACCAGTAAAAAATAAAAAATAAAATATATATACAAATGAACATAAAATCTCAAAATTACTTAATTGTGATGAAAAAAAAAAAGAAGAGAAATTACATATTTATATATACATAACTACACAATTTATAAACAATAGGCTATCTAATAGAAAACTAACTTAATACAAAATGTAATAATATCTACTGTGGTTTATATAATAATATGCAGACACTAAGATAAAATAAAATCTTAGGATACTTGTGATGTTATGAAAAAAATAAAATAAATAAAAGGAACTATTTATTCTCATATTGGCACACATAAAGACAAGAATATAAAATATGATCACATATACCCGAAAGAAAAAGCACAACCTGAGGAGAAGAGAAAAATAAATAAATAGTAAAAATAATAGTCAAACTAGGTGACAAAGATCATTGCTGATTTATGTTAAAATTTAAACAGTAGGCACCACTATTTACTTCACACAAATTCAGTTCATAAAATGAAATTTATGGTGGTAAATCTTCTGTTTGAGATGTAAGATGATATTGGAAAAGGAGGTATTTGAAAGTTGACAGGGAAGAGGCATGACGGATGTTATGTGGCAAAGAATTCCAGTAGGAGACGGAGCGGGCTAAGAAGGAACGTTCATAGGTTTTTGTCCTGTGGAATGGAATATAGAGGTCAGAAACACAGGATCTAGTTTTTATTGAGTGGACTAAGGGTTTAGGCTGGAGGAGACAACAGATATAGGAAGGGTGCTGGGAGTTGATCGTTTGGTATAAGAAATTTCCAAGGAAGTATAGGCGGCGGGAAGAGGGGAAGAGCCACTTTGACTCGGTATATAGGTGGGACACATGACACCATCCCGAAGTGCCGAAGACAAATCTTAAAAAACAGTTCATTGTTCTCTTCAGTCTGTCCTCAAGCTCCAACGAGAGGCCACCGTATACCACACAGCCATAGTCAAAGTAGGGGAAAATCAATGAGGAAACGAGGAGCCTGCGGATAAATTGTGGGAGATGCTGACGAGAACGATGAAATAATAAATATAATAATAATTTAAGAGTACCAATTGACTTTCTGGAGATTTGAGCAATATGGGGTTTCCATGATAGGTTTTGATCAATGGTTATTCCTAAGTTTTTTACAGAGGAGGTGAAGGAGATTGGTTGGTCATTAATAATCAAGGAAGGATGGGTGGAAATGGATCTAAGGAGGGAGTTGGAACCTATAAGAATGGCCTGAGTTTTCGTTGAATTCAACTTTAATTTATTCAAGCTTGCCCAGGCACTTATCCTATCTAGGTCTCTCTGAATATTCGTAAACGCTTCTAATAACTCAGTGGGCGGAAAATAAAAATAAATTTGGGAGTCATCAGCATATGGATGGTATGAACAATGGTGGATTGAACTAGGCAGGTCATTGATGTAAGAATTAAAAAGGATAGGAGAAATGCTTGAATCCTGGGCTACTCTATGAGACAAAGTGAGGAAAGAAGATAAGGGTTGTTTCGGAATACTAACGGCTTGAGTCCTGTCAGAAAGAAAGGATTGGAACCATTGGAAAAGGATAGAGATTATAATTTATTGAAGAGAATAGAATGGTCTAAGGAGTCGAATGCTTTGGAGAAGTCCAGGAGTACTAATACAGTCAATTTTCTTACGTCAATTGCAGTATGTATGTCATTTGTGATTTTAGCTAAAGCGGATTGAGTGGAGAAGCCTGGGCGAAAGCCGGATTGGAGAGGATCTAAAATTTTGAACTCTTCGAGATATATGGAAATTTGGGTTTGGACTATTCTTTCGAGGGGTTTTGACAGATTTGAGAGGATGGAGATTGGACGACAGTCTTTAGGAGAGGTGGGGTTAGGGATTTTGTTAATAGGACGGACTAAGGAATCGGAAAGGAGATTGGCGATAAAGTCACCAGAAACTATTATGTTACTGTAAAATGGGATAAATTTGTATAGGGTTGATTCGAAGGATGGGTCGAAAGGTACCAGAGGAGGGTGGTATACTACAACGTATAGGAGAACATGGGCTTTAAAGGAAATTTCAACAAAAAGGTATTCCATGTGGGGACATTTGGAAGGGGGTGAGATATATAGAGTTCGGGATTTTAGGCTAAATCCACTTTATATAGTTTGATTAATTGTTTCATTACTTCCCTTATTTATTTATTAAACTAAAAGTGTAACTTCACTTTGATGAGAAATTACAAGATCTGGTGATCACACAAAATATGGAATTTTAAGAATGGCTGAAAGTAGATGTAGGTGACCTAACTGTCTGATAAGACCCAGACCTAATCTGGAATGGACCCGTAGGGAGTATGGTCATCTCTTTCGAGTGAGCAGAAGTCAAAAGCAGTAATATAATAAAAGCTAACTAAGCCCTCTACAATATCAGCCTCTCCTTAATACTTCATACCCTTATTGCTAATTACTAATATAAAAATGAAATTATTAGACTAGGAACTAAAAATTCCTGATGAATGACTGTTTTTTAAGCATAATTTCAGATTTATTTCCAATGCTGAAAATTCAAGCGAAATTCGTGAACTTCAAAGAATTCATGGTACCAATGCAAAAGTATAGCTGAACTTTGACGAGTAGGCACAAGATATCTTGATCACACAATAAATGGAATTCTGAGAATGATAAGAGTGTATCCAAAAGAAAACGGAGGTGATCAAACTGTCTATTAAGGCTCTCCTTTCAACTAAAAAAGACCCGTTAAATATTGTTCACCCCTTTTCAGAGAGCGTAGAGAGTGGAAGTTGAGAGTAGCAATCTAATTATGCTAATTAAGAACCTAATTTAAACTAAAAGGAACATCTGGAAGTTAGCAAAAGTTGCAATCGCAATCTCAATAATGGGAGGTTATACCCATGGACACATTGACAATACATGACTGTTCTTTGAATTCCATTTACAGTGTAGTATAATTCTAAAAATAAAAACTTTCAATCAAAGCATCATCATTGATCAACGAGCAACATTTTAGTGCAATAAACATTGAATATCAGATAAGAAATGACAAACAGGAAACAACATGGGAAGAAAAAAAAAATAATAATCAACTAAATTGTATTGGTTAAACATGTAATTGAAGAATTTGGATTCATTAAACTCTAGTTGAATAGATCAAACAATTTTTTATTATAATTTCATATGGATTTGGTATACTAAATAATGCATATAGAAATATTGATGTATGTAGAGCGATATATAACAACATCCTTTGAACTGAGACCAAATTATTATAAATAAATTTCATTAAAAAAAAACGAGTAAATAAATATCACTTCACGAAACCATTTTGAATAATCTACATGATTAGGTTAAAAGATATTTTGTTTTTTAAAGCAATTGAATCTAAAATTTAATACTACCTTTGTTTCATACAAAATTTGTCTACATTAAATCTTACTGTTGTAATTCAGATTATGAACCATCAATTTCTAACAGAGTAACCCAAAAATCCATATTTTGAATTGAGAATGTCTTCAATAAATGTATTGCTAATAATTACTAAAAATAAAGCTTACTGCATTAGCATTTCCTCCAAGTTGCATCTGTCGAATTTGCAACCAAGTCCAATTAGTGTCTAATTGTGTGGATCGAACAAAAGTTAAATGCACACCCAAGCTCCTGTGCACAGCAGAACAGTCAATGCATATGAAAACACCATATGTGACACTGGCCCATGTAGGATTTTTAGCAGTACAATCAAAGCAAATCTAAGAGTAAAATATAAGGCAGATCATTGACACAACACTATCATAAAAAACAATGCTTTCATTGAACTATTCTAATTAAACACATAATCAAAACCTTATTAGTCGGGATCGAACGAAGTTTTTTAAAAATTAGTTCTAAGTTTTTTTTCTCAGGAACTACTTCAGCCATGGTTATATGTACCTATGAAACCATTAATGTCACCATATGGTTTTGACAACACAGTAAATTAGCATTGCAGCCACTAGAAAAAAAACTATTGTTTTTAAAAAAAATATTAAATACATTTCCAAAGTTGTTGAAACTACACCTTTTATTGATTATCACCTGATTATTTACCTATTATTTAATTACTGGTTTTATATAACATATCGTAATGATTACAGTCGGCAATTAAGCTTCTCATTAATAGTATCTCCCCCCCCCCTAACCGAACATTTAACAATTATAGAAATTTAAATTATAATCATAATTAATACATTCTCAAAGCACATTCCTCTTATAGACCGAAATGATCGTCTATGTTTAGTATGATTTTATAGTTATCTAGGTTAAGAAAACCCATTACTGATCCTAAATAAAAAAAATATCACATTGAGGGATGGAAAACCTTTTCTCACCCCGTCTCTTGAGGATCGTTTGTGAAATATCTATAATATCATACACTTTTAACGAAACACATTAATTTCGTAGTGCAAGATTTAGTAATTCTTGAAATTACTTGGATTATATAACATTACTGTCTATTGATTTTAGCGGAAAAAAGTTAAGATATTCTGAGTACTCGTCAACCTCACCCGTGATAAAATCCTACCGGACCTCGAAACCCTAAACTGGAACGATATTTATTCCTGTACCTCTATTGATCATATGGTAGACATCCTCAATTCTAATCTTATCCATATTCTTGACATACATGCTCCTATCAAAACCTCAACCTTCCGTCGCAAACCTGCTCCTTGGATGTGTCAAGAAATTCGCGACATGCAAAAGAGACGTGAGGCAGCCCGTAGACGCTTCAGACGAACTCGACTAGCAGATGACTATCGAGTCTATAGGGTACTCCGTAACTTGACACAAACAACGATCAGGAAAGCGAAATCAAACTTCTTTCACGAAACCTTCTCTTCTGCTCCTGATTCTAAATCAATATGGCTAACCCTTCGTAAACTCTCTCTTTGTAAATCCTCTTCCTCACCTTTCTACCCGGTATCACCCGATGAACTAAATTCCTACTTTATATTTTCCACCACCAGCAACAGTCCACCCACCTCTCACCAGTTTTCCTTATCTCCCTCATTTAACAGTGATAATTTCTATTTCTCCAACATTTCACCGACCGACCTTATTTCCTCTATAATGAAATCACACACAAACTCCATCGGACTTGATGAGATACCAGTCAAACTGTTAAAATTAAGCCTTCCCGAAGTCGTTCCAGTTCTCCTTTTCATCTATAATTTTTCCCTCCAGAACTCAGTTTTTCCAACTGCTTGGAAAAAAGAATTAGTCAGACCTATCAACAAAATTCCCAATCCTACCTCTCCTAAAGACTACCGCCCAATCTCCATTCTTTCTAGCCTTTCTAAACCTCTGGAAAGAATAGCTCAATCCCAAATCTCTAAATTCCTTGAAAACTTAAAACTACTCGATCCTCTCCAATCAGGTTTCCGACCTGGCTTCTCCACACAATCCGCCCTACTAAAAATTACCAATGACTTACATACCGCAATGGACGAAAAAATGTCAATGTTAACTGTGTTAATACTTCTCGACTTTTCCAAAGCTTTTGACTCCTTAGACCACTCTATACTCTATAATAAACTAAAATCTCTATCCTTCTCCAACAGCTCTATCCTCTGGTTGCAGTCTTTCCTATCCGACAGAACTCAAGCAGTCAGCATTCCAAACCAACCCCTATCTTCCTTTCTTACACTGTTCTCTGGAGTGGCCCAGGGTTCTAGCATTTCCCCTCTCCTTTTCAATTCCTACATAAATGATCTTTCCAAATCCATCTACCACTGTTCACATCATTTATACGCTAATGACACCCAAATATATTATTCCTTTCATCCTTCTGAGCTACTAGTCGCGTTCGCCAATATTCAGGCAGACCTAGATAGGATCAGTGCCTGGGCAAGTCTGAATAATTTAAATCTAAATGCGATGAAAACTCAGGCCATTATTATAGGTTCCAGTCCTGTTCTTAAATCCATCTCCTTCCTTCCTCCTTTAGTCATCAACGATCATCCTGTCACATTCAGTTCATCCGTTAAAAACCTAGGAATCACCATAGATGAAAACCTCTCCTGGAAATCCCATATCGCCCTCATCTCCCGTAAGTCAATAGGTACCCTTAAGCTATTTCATCGCTCCCGCCACCTACTCCCACAACCCATCCGCAAGCTCCTTGTATCCTCTCTCATTTTCCCCCACTTTGACTGCGGCTGTGTGATGTACGGAGGCATCCCGATGGTACTCGAGGATAGATTGAAGCGACTCATGAATACGTGCTTAAGATCTCTTCGGTACATCAAGGCGATCTCATGTGTCCCACCTTTACGACGTGTTTAAGTGACTCTTCCCTTCTTTCCGCAGACAATATTTCCTCGGATCTTTCCTATTCCAAACAATCAACACCAGACACCCTTCTTACATCTACAGTCTCCTACAGTTTAAACCCGTGGTCCACTCCCAGAAAACAAGATCCCGTGATTCCGACCTTTACATCCCTTCCCATAGAACTAAGACGTTTGAATATTCCTTTATTTCCCGATCCACAGCCTTCTGGAATTCCTTGCCATCTGAAATCCGCCATGCCTCCTCCTTGTCCTCATTTAAATATCATCTCTACCAATTCCTTCTCACATCCCAAAATGACGTTATACAATAAAATAAATATTGTGAAACAGAGAGGTGAATGGTTGATAAAATTTATTGAGTCTTAATTTCAAAAATCAACCCATGCTTATTTTATTTTATTTTTTTCATTTAAATAATGTTTTTTTTATTTCGTTTTTTCTCAAAATTTTATTTTATTTTTACTTGTTTTAATTTAACTTCACTGAAGATACTGTATATATTCTTTTAATATTGATTAATGTAATTTTTGCCCAGATGTAGTTTTTATTTTTTTGTTCATATCTGTTATTCATAAGGGACCTTGTCCCAGAATAAAGTTTACTTTCTATCTATCTATCTATCTAATATTTTCAGGATTAATTATTGCCTGTTTCAAGTGCTGCTATTTTCGCAGCCTTTTCTTCATTCACTAAACACAGACGACGTTTGGAATCGTATAATCATTTCGTCTTCATGATATGATATTTCAGCGTAGATTAGCCCCTGTGTTGTTGTTAGCCGTTATAGTATTCATCTTATTTTTGTCAGCTTTATGTAGCACTCATCATTTTCCTTAGAAAAAGTCATGAACAAACTGAATTGTATCACAACAAATTTTTAGACCCAATCTGTTTCTTTCTCTCTCTGGATACAATGTCAAGACAAATACAATAGCTCCAGGCACGGTCTGTCTCCTGGCTGGAGTCTGAAGTGGGACCCCCTTATCAAGACAACACACACACGCAGACATTCACGCAAGTATGCACACACTCACAAATGTATATAAAAGTAAGGTATACGTAAATAAAAGTGGTTTCCAGAAAGTTAAATATATAATAAATTTGGCCATATTTACAAAACAATTATTTTTGGGGCCAGAGATACCATGGTAATAGATAATTTTAAAAATAGATATTCGAGACCCTCTCATAGGGCCCTCCAATCCTTCTACGGAGGGGGCCCAAAATTTTGAGGAAATAAACGAATTATTTTTTTAAGTAATTAATGAAAGTTCTTTTTTTTTTTTTAGGTATAGAGCCAACTTCATAATTGGATTGGTACTAAGCTACATACTAAATCTGGTGCAGTGCGTGCATCACACAACTTTTACTTACCACCCTCTCCTTAGCAGAAATAAGTATTTTCACACCAAGGGAAGTGAAAGTAAAAATTATAGACGGTACGAACTATTCTTTAATAGTTCACCGGACACGATTAAATAGTTTTTTTTTGCCATATTAGCGATGTTTTGCCGTACGTAAAAGAGGAAAATTGTCTGGTAGGTTATTAGAGGTTATATAAAGATCGTCTATTAACGGGCTGATATTCGTATTACGCCTATTAATTTTTTTTAATGTAACTTACGTCGTTTATTACTTTGTTGTATATTTGGAGGCGCCAGAGTAATAAATTTTCTTTTTTTTTGTGTGTGTGTGTAAAAATTATATTTCTCGCCTAATATTCGTATTTCGCCTAATAACACGTTTTTAATTATAAATTGCCCTCAGTTTTTGGATGCAGATGTTAATGGTCGTTATGACTTGTTGTATGAGTTCTTAGGAGTCCTATTGGGCGAGAGGTGTAACTTCACTTACCACCTAAAAGAAATTAAGAGCAAAACTATTGTCCGTTACAGTTGCCTTAAAACGATGGCAGGGACCACCTGGGGTCTCAAATATAGTTACCGGGAAACGCTATATAAGGCTTCTTTCTTGCCTATTGCATTATATGCGGCGCCGGTCTGGGGCCAGAAACTGAGACAGTCAGACATCAGAGTGCTGGAGCAAGCTCAAAGAAGATCTCTCCTACTGGTGACAGGAGCGTATAGAACGGCACCCACTTCGGCTTTGCAAGTGATTACAGGACAACTGCCTATAGACCTGAAAATACAAATATCTATAGCCAAATATAGAATAAAGAGAGGAGTGCCAGCAAATGTGGGAACAAGCTGTTTTGTGTGCCCTAGTGGAAGGTACGACGAGGTAGCCGACAGAATAGAAGAACTAGTCCTTTCTGAATGGCAGAGAAGGTGGGATGCATGCGAGACTGGAAGACTGACCCATGAGTTCTTCCCAGATGTCAGGAGAAGAATCAAGAATGACTGGGTGGAGACGGATTTCTGGACTGTTCAACTCCTCACAGGCCATGGAGATATAAATGAAAAATTACATTTTTTTCATAGAAGAGCCAGTCCGAATTGTCACTGCGGGGCTGTTGAGGATGCTAGACACATGATTTTGGAATGTCCAATGTACACTGGCGCCCGACAAGCATTGGCAGGAGAGTACTCCATGTTGGAATGGCCTCCTCGGTCCCTGGACAAGCTTGTGGAGACACCTGAGATATTTGATGCCTTTAAGAAATACGCCAGGAGGATATTCCATGAAAAAATAGCAAGAGAGGAAAGATTAAACCGGTGATATACCAAATACATAAATTTATTGTTATCATAAGATTTAGAAATAGTATATATAAACTTAGGAGGTAGGGGCCCACCAGACTTGCTGGAGGGTGTGACGTAGGATTGAACGCCCTACTCACATATCTTTAGTTCACCAAACACCACAAAAAGTCATGGA